AATTTTAGCTAACATGAGCAAATGAGGAATAAGTTTGAAGTATGGGAAAGGTGGTTAATTTAAGCTTCTTTATACCTACTTCTGTCTCATCTCCGCCGATGTGTATTCTCTGACTGTAAATGTCATAGCAGTGGAATAAAACAGAAACTCGAATTTTTCATGAAGTTGAAATAATTCTGGGATCTATGTTTCAAAGACAGTTTTTCTGTCTTCATCAATTTCCTCCATCTTGATTAGCGTGATGTCAGGGGTAAAAGTTCATGTCGAAGCATTTCATTTCTACTACGTGAATCCAATTCAAATGAGATTTTGACTTCACTTCATTATGGAAATTTCCGCACCATGGCATACTTTCTCCATGATCTCAACCACTCAAATAACTTTCCTTGACCTACGTATCACCATCGGTCATTCAACCTAATATTCAATCATATGAATGCCACAGTGGTATGAAAATGAACACAAAACTGTCTGCTAGAACGTCTAATTGGCTTGACTAACCCAGACAGAATTCGAAGTGGACTATTATCTTTTCTATTTTACTTTATTCCTTCGCGTTCCGAAATGAACGAATGGCTTCAGGCTTGAGCTTAGAAGTTTCAGTGGTAGCGATTTTATCTTTACGGGATGTGTTGCTAGCTTCACACCTAACTCTCCATTTCAGGTGAGCTTATCACAAGCCTAATGAGGTTAAGGGGAGTGTGGGCAGGAATCGAACCTAGGACAGTATGCATGGTTGGAGAGCATTCTACTAGTGAACTACCGACACAAGAAGCACTGTCGATTCTGCTTCACTGATTCTAGTGAATATCAAAGATTAAATCGTCTAAAGTTTTTTCACGCAGCCGTTGCATTCACACTAAATTCACACTGCTGAATTTTCCAAATCTGTGGGACGCGTCCGTTTTCTGAGAAATATGAAAAAGTGAGCGATTAGAAAATTTTTTTAAACGGTAGCAATCAATAAACACTAGAATGCATCAGATGGTTTCCATCATTTCAGTCAACATTTTGTGGAGGCATTAGGAACTATGTGTTTTACTTCGTTGCATACTGCAAAGTATATCAGACGCAGCTGTATATCACCACTCAACATGTGAAAATGTTTGCAGAAGATAATGTCTACAGTTTCGATGATTTGATAATCGGAGGGAGCGTGTACAAGCACATGGATATACACAGCATAAGATGCATTCCCCTTTGGCGGACACTCAACAAACCATAAAGATTTCATCTCAACGCTGCTAAGATAGTGGAGATACAGCCAGTCTTCTAAACACAAAGTCAAGAAGTGGAGGAAATGTGGATTCGGACTGACAACTATTTCGAGGAATCTTCAGAGTGAGGCTGACATCCTTCAGAAAAACTGAAGACAGACCACTGAAATATTGAGAAACTGAAGTGAAGGTAAAAACTACAGGGACACTTCTACTACCGATCAGATCAGGACAAAGTCGGAGACACAAGGTGTCATCACTGAGGAAACCTGTGTGGAAGAACACTGTAAATAACTGTATAAAGTCGATGTTCAAGGAAACGTGTACAAGTGTTGTAGGAAGGAAGGGGAGGCAAGACAAGGAATGGCAGAGTAAAGGAGTGAAGGAGAGTTCAAGGAAAGACGAAAGACGATTCTACGACACACTGGCCAGCAACTGAAGCAGAACAGTCAGGCAGGCCTCAGGTGAAAGTGACCTAAGAATATTATATCGGGTGACCAAGTCTCTGTCTGCGAAGAGATCAATGCAGATGAAGAAACAAATAGAGGATTTTTCAAAGAACCTAACTAGCATTGATGAGTAACAAGTAAAACAATGGTTGGATTACCTAATAGGAGTCTTGAAACGACCATCACCTGCAACTAGCCCAGAAATATCACTACAACCAGCAGCACGCAGCACGCATGCCTACCAGTGGAAACTAATCTCCCAGCGTAAGCAGAAATCCTGAATGCAGAACTCTCCATACCTGCGAACAAGCTAAATTCAGAAGAGGTAAATCATGCTCTGATCAACTTGTAACTCTACGCACCGTCATCATCACCACAGAACAAAGCATAGAGTGGCAGTCAATTCTGCCTCCAACTCAACTTAAACGACTTCGAAAAAGCCTTCGACAGATAGTGTTATCTGAGAAGTAACTTGAAAATTGCTTCAATACTATGGTGTGCAGTGATTCAAGTCTTCATCAACCCTGTTCAACAACTGGCTATATGACATTGCCACGTATCACGTGATCCACAACGGGAAACGCAGTGAGGCGTTCGGAGTGAATACAGGAGTAAGACCAGGCTGGCTGGGTATTATCACCGATGAAATTGTTGATTGTGGATGGCTGGATTATTTGTCAGAGTGTGCGTGGGGAGTGAGAAGAAACGAATACTCTGGACAGGCCGATGAGAAGACTCCAGAAGATATGGATTTTGGGTGTTGATGATAAACGTCTATTGTTATACAAACTAGAAGACCTGCAGATGAAAACCAACAAACAGAGTGAAGAAGCAGCCAGTGAAGACAGGACTCCAGGTGAACTTAGAGAAGGCGGAGACAAGGGTGGTGAAGACAACCAATCAACGAACTAACAGCAGCAACAACTAGGACTAATCTTCATCAACGGGAGAGATTTGAACGAAATGACTTCCTTTACTTATCCTACTGGCAACCATCGTTTCAACCACAGACAGTCAGAAGGGATGAAGATGTCAGAGCAGGTCAGCTAGAATCTGAAAGGCAAGATACACCTCCATCAATATGAAACCAGTTAAGAAATCTGCTTTTGCACTCCACCTCAGCATAAAGAACAAGATTCGGATTTCCAACACCAATGTTAAGTAGTTAGTCAATTCTTCTATACGATTGAGGAACTTGGACTTAGCTCGTGTCACGAAAATCATTTCCAATGGGCTACCGAAGACTTTCATCAACAGCTGCCATCTTCGCTGAGTCCATGCTGAAGATCAAATGACCAGGTGGCCAGAAAGAATCGGAAACGATAAACCCTACTGAAATGCAGTCAAACAACAGTCAATCACTCAACAAATGAGCAGGAGAAAGTATAGTGACAGGCCGTCACGTGACATCGCACTCAGTGCAGGCCATCGCTGGAATGGAATCCCAATGGAAATCTACGGGTTGATCGTTGGTGCGAGAGTGACATGGATGAGATTGTGTGGTGTCGAGGAGGTGAGAGATTATTGGCCGTCGTGCAGGCATCTGAAAAGGACAGCAGAAAACTGAACAAAGTTAGGATAGGTTGCTGAAGCCCTATGTTCCACTCGGAACCTAGGATAATCATAATAATAATAATGCTTTCATCAAATATTTCTGAAACCTTACTGTATACTTAAATTCACTGTGATCGAGAAAGTGAAAATATGTAATTCAACTTTCCTTGTGTTGTAACTAACAATGTTACTCAGAGCAACCTTTTCCATGGTAATCCTCAACAGTAATTTTTAAAATGACACTAGTACTTCAGAAATATCTGTTCTATTTAACAGTTTCGTTCATTCAACAGAATACAAATTATGAATATAACAGCACAAAAGTATCTGACATCATTGTTCCCATCTTTTTTAAAGATATCAATGCAATGCCTAGTGTAATCAGAAAAGGATAAGCACAGCATGTGCAGTCAATGAAGCCATACAGTAATCTGTACCAAATGCTCTGAATTCACGAGCGCCAAGTGTTATCTGACCGATGAATAGGGCAATCTGATAAACATAGAAGAAAACATTGAAGATGAGTTGTGAATTCACTGAAGATATCGGCTTACTTGTAAGTCACTGGAAAAGTACCACATACTTCTGAGGATCTCAACAATTTGTATTATTATTCTTACTATTATTATCATAGTCATTTCACACGCATTCCAAATTATGCTGCACTGAACAAAGATGATGCTAAACTTTATTTGAATTCATTATAGCGGAGTTTATAAATTTATTTCTCTTCATGAATATCCAGATGGTTCACTGGATGATAATCGGATCTACGTAGCATTCTGATTGGGTTGAATACAACCTAATGAGGAGATACGCAACAAGGTTACTCTAATAATTGAAATGAGGCGCCTAATTTAAAGCAAACAGTTCCAGTCCGTTATATTAGTGGTTTGTTCGAAATCGACTAACCAGCAACGGATGGCATCAAATGCCGTCAGTGTGAGAAATCTAGACGAAGAGGTTATCTCATATTCTTATCTAGGTAGCATCATTTCAACTACAGGCGGTACAGCTGAGGATGTCAAAGGCATTCAGCATTCGAAAAGCAAGATGAAATTTCATTAGCCTAAAGTCAGTGTGGAAATCTGCTGCACTGAACATGTGAAATAATATTCTGACTATCAACACTAATGTCAAATCAATAAGCGCTCCTACATTGCTCAAAGATTTAGCGTCTGTTTTATGAAAAACACTTGCAGCCGACAGCAGACTTTTAGCAACAGCTGCCTTCTTTCCGTACTGAAGATCAGATGACTGGCGAGAAACAATAAACTGCAAGGAACTCTACCAAAGAACCCGTTGAGAAATTGATGGACATTAGGCACGCCGAATATAATCTAGATGGTCTGAACATACGCCATGTGGAGGAAATCACCGAATGATGTTATGCTCGAGGCAATCCCACGAGAGGGACCAGAATTAGGGGCAGCATAACGGGCGTGGGTTCAACAAAGACATGGGGGATATGAGGGTTACACGTAGTTGTATAACCGCCTGAAAGGTACTGCATCAAATAGCGTGAAATAGGGATTAGTTCCTGAAATCCAACGTTCCTCTCAGAAAATAAAGCCATAACACCAATAACAAAGTAATTTAAAATGAGGGAGCATTATCCGCGCTTTGTTCACTGCTATTGGCACACAGTGAATTTTATTCTACAGTTGTGAAATTGTTCTCTGAATACGACGCTAGGTGATTATTGGCATTTTAGCCTCGATGAAACAGATTCAGGAAAGTAACATAAATGAATAAAGGAAGGTGTCTGAAGAAGACTTACAGGGATTACTAGAATGGTTGTGCCTGCCGCGAGAATCACCAATGCCCAGAAAGTCTGCATCATAGGAAAAAATGATAAATGTGTGTACTCAATAAAATATCATTCATGCATTTCTTTGTAAAGTAAGATTATTACATCACTGAATGTATTACTGTGAACCTGACTAATTCACGATAATATCCTAGTCAAATTACTCACTGTTAGATAATTTCATGAGTTTCCGTCACTTGAGACGGAAGTATTTCATTTCACATTCTACTTATTGTAAAAACAATGGCATTTATTTCCAAAGCGCGCTTACCTGTTGAATCCCAAAGTGAACTCCAAGTGTAGCAGCGGCGAGTGCAGCTGAGAATAAAGCATAGCCTATCAGCATTCCAAGAGAGCCCACTTTCAGTTCACTCTTCAACGTTGCACCAATCGATATACACATGATGAAGAGAACCACAGCTATTGACATCACAACAAGTACCCATATGTAGTCTTTCCCTATGAATTCGACTTCTGTTAATACGGTCAGGCAAGCAGACTACAAGGAAAAGTAAATTGAACATGAGAATTGGGTTTTAATAAATAAATAAATATTCTGACAGTCTTATGAACACAATTTCATGGTGTAGGCGAATGAGCTTTAAGGGTGACTCAGAAAAAATTGGAATGACCAATAATGAGTTTTCAGCAAGTCTGTCACCTCAGTGAAGTCACACCTCATAATACTTTTCAGACACAGTTCACTGGTGATATTCATTGCTAAATGATCACCCCTACAACAGTACATGTTCAGAAAAATGTGTAACTCTGGTTGAAATCATACATGATTTCAACCATCAAATAGGTGTTCCAAAGCCAACCAATATGTGAAATGAAATGTCGTGATGCTCCAAATATCAAACAACCCTTCACTGAGAAAGTGATTAAGACAGTTTATCGAGGAATTTTTCCCACCATTTGTTTCAACAAAGTGAAATATTTCATTGTCAGTAACAACCGTAAGACACCTGCAGAATAATTCGTCAGTAGTTGTGAAGAAGTCTCATCAATTCATCATCATTATCCAGAAGCTATCTGTTCCATTGATGTAGCCCTACAACAAATTCATGTTGAATGTAAACGGAAACTATATTATACTCGGGAAGTTTAAGACATGTTCTGTCACCACGTTCTCCAATTCGTAATGAAGTAACACAAATATTAATAGGCACTCCTTTCTGAAAAATTATTTAGTATTTCCCATATTGATAAACTGACGAAAACAATTTTTAAATGTACGCATGAATAAAAAATACATCAAATTCATACATGTAACATCGCAACAAGAAATTCACCGGGAATAGTTTTCGTATTCTGTCTATTAAGACCAGCAGACATATCACCGTGATATCAAGAATCGCCCTAAATATAAAGGAAATAAATGATGTCTGTGACGTAAATTAAAAAAAAACTATGCATCAGTGAAAAATGTGAAGCTTAATTGAAAATTTGTGACCTAAATTATTATGTGTGGACACATAAAAACTATGGCTGATTCAGGCTTGATTCTGTTACGCCATACTAGGTTAGCTTCAGGATCGCTTTTATTTTAATGCCACCTTCACTGCAATGTAAGTGAAATAATAGGCAACGAAATCTGACTCGCATGTACGGCACACAAATACGATAGCCGACTCAAAAATATTTATTGCTGTAAGCTTATACTTCTATAAAGCTAATTTCATTTCCTGAGGGGCATTTTCCTGAGTTGGAAACTGTAATCTCTCGGTTGACGCTTAAGAATACATTTCATATCCAAGACACCGATTAACTCACCACTCTGTACCAGTGAAGTTGTTGAATACATAGTTAATTGATCTGATGGTGTATTATCTTCTAGATGTTCTTCCAGTAGAATGGAAGCTGATGTGTTTCTCATGCGTAGGTACAGTTTATTTTTTACTGTGGAGTAAGGTTGTTTAACACCTAACTTTGTGATAAATCAATTTTCCCTCCATTTTCCTGTCGTTGAATTCATTACCATTCAGCATCGTACACTGAATAACACTGAAACTGGGTCAGTATTTTCCTTGGAATTACGGAAACAATCGATATCATAATTCTTTCGATTTCTGAGATTTTACACACTGAATAACTTGTTGCAGATTTATCATGTTTTTGGAGTAGTCATGCAGTCATTCACATTGTTATCCTGCTCTATGAGGGTTTAGATATCGAGTCTGCGAGTCGGTGGATATATTCATATGTCACACTGCTCTCGCTTCATGAATGTTTATGTTGTCAAAGTTGAAGCCGTTGACAAATAAACTGATGTGAATTAAACTAAGTGCTTCCATCACATCACGTTTCAACTACATTTCAAATTGCCTTGTGGAGTGTGTATGGTGGTTGGTAGTGCCGAATGTGTTGTTAACTTTTTAAGCAAAATTATCACGTTATTCAGTAGATTGTGGTTTAGCAGTAACGCTCAACTCATCAGAATTTTGCAGTGATGTCCGCTTATTGAAGTATACCTTAGCAGTGACTTACCGTAAAGAAAGGACTGTTTCATTTATTGTTACTCTATGCTATGGGAAGTTTATTATTTCTAGTCATTCAGTAGGCTATGGACATAGATGAACTTAATAGAAAAGATTTGTAACTCAGGTGGATGATTTGAAATTAATATGTTCTCTCAGCTGGTTGGTTTAGTGGCGGAGCTTCGTCGTCTTTCTGGACGGCATCTTCAGCGCAGTATTTAGCAAAAGTTAAATGATTTAAAAATCTCCATGAATGATGATACAATTGCGTCTCCTGGTGACCAACCATCTTCACATATGCATTGACCGTTTTCTATTGATTGGGATTTTAAACTTTCTGGTCACCTGATTTGCTTTTTATTAGTTGATATATTTCATCTATATTAACGTGTTTATTAATGGCATTTTCCTTTGAGTACCAGGCTTCTAGGAACTCCCTGGCAATTTGGTGTTTCCTCTGTTTAAGATTTTGATATTATCCCAATCAAATTGATATCCATAATTATCTGTATGTATTGATACTAAAGAATTTATATCATGTCTTTTCACGGCTGACTTGTGTTCTTGGATTCTTATTCGAAGGGGACGCCCACTTTGGCTGATGTAATGTTTGTTACAGTTCATACAATTTATTTTGTAAATGGTGCTAATTTTATCTCCTTTCTCTATCGGATCTTTTGGTTTGCATAAGATCGAATTAAGCGATTCGGCTGGTCAACTGTTGTCAACTGTTGATATACATTATTATCTTTGAGTAAATTCTCTGCTTTCTTTATGTAGTCTTCTGTGTCCAGGATTACTGTTGTTCTTCCTTTATCACCAAAGACCAAAAAGAAATTCATCTTACCATACATCAGAAATATCTCTGAAATAACGGCTAGAATAATGAAACCGTTTGATATAGATGTAGCACACAAACCAGCCCTATGTTCCTCTAGGAACTAAAGGATACAATAATAATAATAAATAATATAGATGAAATATATCAACTAATAAAAAGAAAATCAGGTGACCAGAAAGTTTAAAATCCCAATCAATAGAAAACGGTCAATGCATATGTGAAGATGGTTGGTCACCAGGAGACGCAATTGTATCATCATTCATGGAGATTTTTAAATCATTTAACTTTTTGCTAAATACTGCGCTGAAGATGCCGTCCAGAAAGACGACGAAGGCTCCGCCACTAAACCAACCAGCTCAGAGAACACTAATAATTGCAAATAGATTAACTTACTCTGAAACGTCTGTTTGGCGAAAAAAACTTTTTCGCCTCTTATATTACAATTGAGGTTAATAGGCATCCTCACTTGCTTCCAACCTTTCTTAGCATTTATCAAGCTGATACTCTACGTGATGATTATTCATGTCACAGTTTACATAGAATTTTATCAAACTCTATGTTAATCACTTGTACAAAGAGCTACAGTGTTACAGTACAATGAATCACACATAGAAAGTGGTTTAAGCTGATCGTCTTAATTTGTGATGTCATTTGATTGTATGCGGTTTTCTGTCCACCAAAACAAGTGCACAGCTCAATTCCATCTTTCGTCAAGCTAACATGATAGTACTTTTATTGTGTGACATTCGACAACGACTTGTGACGTTGTTATCGTAGATCCAGTATTGCGTTTTTGATTATAGCTTGATTCCACACCGTATTTTTGGTACAATTATAGAATTTTCAGCATGTGATATCGATAGCCCAAATTGTTCAGGCCGACCAATTGATATCTGGTATACGTCGGCAGGGGATCGAATCATAGACCATGTCCATTGTCGACGAGATTCCTAGCGACGGACTGATTATTTGGTAAGATTAAAAGTATAAAACGATTCTGACAGTTAAAAAAATATAAAATATCTAACTTATCACGGCCAGTGTGTATTAATACGTATAGAAATAGTAGATTTAGTTAATGAAATTTAATAAATGCAGTTTTGTATATTGAACACACAGTACGGCATATACGACGGTATTCACTATCCAATATGGAGGACGACTTTTTGGTCTGAAATATGATTGGTTAATTAATTATTCAATTAATTATACATATGTTGACATACATGAACGATAAAGCGGGTGTTATCCCCAGTGTGATAAAGCACATCACAACAAGAAACACTATAACCTACAAACGGTAATTATATTCATCAGTAGTGGATAAGAGACTCACTCTTCTCGGGTATTTGTCGAAAATGTTGGAGACATGATTCACTAATCTTGAATTCATCGTAGTTTTTATATTTCCCATCTTCTCTGATAATCCTGTTCAAATGTATCGTGTATAAAGAGACAGTTATGTATATATATATATATATATATATATATATATATATATAGAATATGTAAGAATGTGTGTGCTTGTGTGAGATGATGGCTTATAACCATAATGTCCACAGTTAAGTCTAAAAAAATGGAGTCTGCTGGTTAAATGAAGACAAATTCAATATTTCCTATATTGTTGCAATGAAATAATCGTTGCTTCCAATGTAGTTGGTGCATAAAATGATTACCAGTCATATAGTTACATGCATATTAGTTTGTTGTAAGCTGTCATAACTAGCTGCCTAAGTGAACGGTTTCGTAATTTAATGGTTCATTTGATGCAACCTCCCTGTCCACAATAATTCTAACCATTGAAACGATTGAAATCATTTGTCAGCAACCTTATCTTCTCTCACTTCTAGAGTCGGAATTCAAACGCCTACCATGGATGTGCAATTCCAGTTTGACAATATTCTTTACCGCAAAATAGATGGTGTTGCTATGGGCAGTCCACTCAGCCCCGTTTTAACAGATGCTTTCATGCAATCGAAAAATCAGCTTCTTATTGTCGATATGTCGATGAGACGTTTGTAGTCTGTAACAATGAAAGTCATGATTCCTATTGAGTTTACTTTGGAACATGAAGATGATGGAAAGTTCCATTTCCTTGACGTTGCCATGCGACGCCTAGAAGATGGTAGTCTTCAGAAGTCAATTCACCGAAAGCCTTCCTGGAAGGGACAATACTTACATTTAAATAGTTTTGTCCAAATAGTTATTAACGAGCTATGGTCAAGACTCTGTACTCTAGAGCGAGGAGAATATGCTCTGCAGAGAAACTAGGGGAAGAATTTACGATTCTCGAAAAAGTGTTGAAAGACAATGGTTATCCTCAAAGATTCGTTAACAAATCACAGTGGAAAAAATCCTGAACTTATTCAACTCAATTTCAAAGGGTGAAAACATTGCAGCAATGGTTTACAGAAGACTGAGTACATCAGTAGGCAGAGCATATCTTGCAGCGAAATTGGTTTTCCTCAGTGCAGTTAAAAGTCAACAGATACCCTTCTCATGTTAACTCCAACTGTGTACACAAATTTATGTGTATCTGGGGGGGAGCAGTTATATTGGAAGAACAGGAAGAAAGGCACATTCCATTGGGCCCAATGGGATGGAAATTGGCAGAAAGGCACATTCCAGATTTTCTGAACATGCAAAAAAGCCTATGTCTAAATGGAATATATGCTTTAAATAGTGCCATCGCCAGGCGTCTCCTTGACACGGGTCATGAGGTGGAAGTCGCAAGATTATTCAAAATTATCAATAGGCAAAAGAGTTTAATTCTACTTAGACTTGCCTAAGTAATCTCCATCAAGCGCTTGAAACCCGATTTGTGTGTTCAGAAGGAAGTAGTAATAAGTCTTTCCACGCCCTGGTAACTCGATATTTTCACCCTCTCTTTCATCTGATTACATAATGACAAAGGTTTTCATTGTGTATGATCATCATTGTTCCGGATAAAGTGTTTATTATTATTATTACTGTATATTATTTTGATGTGGTTGTGTTCTCTGAGCTGGATAGGTAGTTTGCGAGGCTTTTATCGCCCTACTAGGCAACATCTTCAGCGCATACTTCAATTTGAAGTGAGAGAACTCCCTAACCCCCACATTAAAAACATACACCTTAGCTACAAATCTTCCCCATCACATTATATATATTATTATCGTGTGCATATATTAATTGATAATTATGTAAAAATGAACTCTGTGCAAGTATGCCAAACTTGTTTCTGTAGATAAACTTAATAATGACTTTGGCCTGTAAGCAGCTGATGAGAAGCCAACGAAATAATAAGTGGTGGTAACTTTATATTCTGCTGAATTTGTTGTTCTTGCTTTATTAAAATTAAATATTTGTGATTACACATATATAGCTAACATAAGAGTGGGGAGACAAAGAGAGATGGAACATAGTGGAATCTATATTTTCCCCGGCTGAATGTTTATCGTATAATTCATCTGTAGTATTCATCAACGAATAAGTCTTATTCATCCATAAGACCTGGATTTTGCGGATGATTTATGTTTGATGTTACAAAAAATCGAAGACTTACAAGAGAAAACCAACAAACTGGCCGAAGAAGCACCCGGCGAAGACAGGAATCCAGGTGAACAAAGACAAGACGAAGGTTATGAAAATAACCAACCAAAAACAACAACAGTAGCAGCAACATCCAGCACCAATCACCATCAACGGGAGGGATTTGAAAGAAGTTACTTCATTCATTCACTCATCTAGGGAGCATTGTCTCAACTACAGGAAGTCGGAACGGACGAGGATGTCAAATCGAGCGAGAATCGGGAGGGGGGCGAGAAACACATTTATCAACCTGAAACAACCAATCTGGAAATCTTAGTCACTCAGCCAGCATCAACAACAAAATTCGAATTTTCAATACAAACACGTCAAGTCAGTTCTTTTATACGGATCAGAAACTTGGCAGGTGGGTCACAGAGAATATTTCCAACAGCCGGTTTCAGACCTTTAGCATCAACTAACTGTGTTTGCTCTTTACTGAAGATCAGATGGCCGGGCCGGAAAGAATCACCAACAAGAAACAACTATGGGAACAAACAAAACAAGAACTAATCGCCAACCAATAAACATGCAGGAGAAAGTGGATTGAGATGGATTGGACACTGGCTGAGGAGGCCGCTGGATGACATCGCTCGCGCGTCAGGCCATTGCTCGAGTGGAATCAGGCCGAAAGGGAAGTGGCGAGTGGGACGTCAGTGCGAGGGTGACATGGAGGAGATCGTGTGTAGAGGAGTTGAAACAGTATGGACTAACATGGATGCAGGTGACAGAAGGTACAGCAGAAGACAGAAGCTAGTGGAGACGTGCAGTTGAAGCCCTTTGTTCCACTAAGAACCCAAGAGAACTTAATAATTATATTAATCAACAACAAATCCCAGTGATATATAAAGACATGTTAACCTGACAGAGAAATTAAAAACATTAGGAGCACAAAAAGTTAAAAATAGTAATCCCAAAAAGACATTTACCTAATTTCATTTCTGTGCTGTTATTAGATGAACGTTGATTTCGATATTTTTATGACAGATTCTCATTCTTTTTTCCTGCAAATCATTATGAGCAAACAATGTGCAAAATATTCAGTTTGATTTATCGAGACAAAGGTGAGAGTGTGAGTGAACTTTGGTCATCATGTGAAAAATTTTGATTGGCTAAATTACGAAATAGTTAAGCAGTTGGTGTAGAACGCTTCAGACACACAGCTAAGTGTTACTGCTAACAGTTCACTGATTCTCTCTCGATATCAATACAGGCTAAAAATATTATCACACTTTACTCAGAACCACATGACATCTACTCATCACTTAGCTATGCCAAACTAACCAAAGTATGAAACCAAATTTCACAGTGTTACAAGTATCATATTACTTACTATTCTCTGAGATAATATTGAGAACAGCATAACAAGCATTTTCTTTCGCTACTTGAATATTCCCTCATTAGTAATGCATTTGTATACTTGATAAATTAGATTGACAGACTGCCTAGTTAAGAGAAAGGAAAACGGATATTTTAGTATATCCATATTCAGGAAGAAAACCCACTCCAGTAAATATTTAGACTCCAAATCATCACACCCTATCAGCGCAAAGACTTCAGTTGTTTCAAGTCTTCTTAGACGAGCACACTCTTTGATGTTAACGGATGAGAAAGAAAAAGAAGAAGAAATATCAAACATTACTGAGGCTGTCAAGCAAAACAACTATCCAAAAAACTTCATCAACAAAATCAACACGGGCATTAAGTATGGCCGAAAACGCATTCCGAAAACATGGATATCATTCCATATAGAGCAGAGACGTCACACGATATCAGAACAGTTCTCAATCAGCTCGACATTAGAGTTTTCTTCAAAACATCACACACACACACACTGCAAAGCAACCTTGTCCATATAAAAGACCAAATCCCGAAAGATTCTCTATTTAATTGTGTCTATAAAATAAAATGTTTGGAATATGACGCGATCTACATCGGACAAACATCTCGAGAAATCAAAATCAGAAGAAATGACCACCGTAGGGAATCTCTTTGACCATCGAGATATCCAGGTGAACTAGAAAAACTTGAAAAATCATCAGTCATAGGTCTACATGGTATAGAATCAGGCCACAATATTGATTTTGACAATATTGAAATAATCCAGAAAAACTTCGAAAATCACAAAGAACGTCTAATATCATCAGAAGCAATTCATATCAAGTGGAATCCAAACTGGCTGAATAGGAATGATGATGGACTCAAACAGAATCTGACCAGGTTACAAAACCTCCCTCCCGCATGAAGTGAAAAAAAAAACGAATGTGATAATCAAGTTCACTATGTATACACACAATGGTTTTATAATTTTACACACTGATCTAATCCAACCACCTACACTTAGTTTTCTTATCTTTACCAATTAACCAACTTGACAACAAAAAACGACCCCAGACAGACGAACGATGATCAAGTTAGTAAACTTTGTTTTGATATCATAACAGATGTAATATTACCTTTGATATTTAGTTTGAACGATCTTCATTGTTATTTTGACTTTCAATATGTCCTTTTAAGTTGAACTAAGTCTATATTTTTTCTCACCCCCTAACTCTTTGTTATATTTATGCTGAGATTTTGTAAATTCCGGTTTAATAATACTTTGAGAAAGCTATTAGCATTAAATAGCGAAACGTCAGTAAAAACAATATCGTTTTGTTTTCATTCATTGGTAAATACAAGATCCTTTATTATAATAGATTGACAGAAGTTTAAATTCATGGACTGGTCATTGGATCGGGTCCCAGTGGCTTAATGTTATACAAGCTCACCTTGTAACCAAAGGTCCTGGATTCGAACCCTGTTGGTTGGTGCGTACTGCTGAAGGGTCCCAAACTGCGACGAAACATCTGTCCAGTACTCCCAGCTGGTTTTCCAACGGTTCTCTAACCAATGTTAGCTCATGATGAAATACTCCATGCAATCAAACAAAGTGCCTACAAAATCAATACTTGTAAATTATGTGTAAGTCACTCCTCTTTTGTAGTCTGACAGCGCAGCCCTTACTTTATTCATAAGGTAGCTATCATTCTTTTCAAATTTGATGCGATTGTTGGGTGAGGATATCAACTGTGGTTTTGCAATGCACTTGCAGCATTTCAGATGTGATTTCGTATGGCTCCCTGTCTACTCGTCTTTCAGTAGGTTTATGACATCCCACACTTCTGCTTTTGCCTCCAGATTTATGTCCACTGCGTTTTCTGTGGTTATAATAATAAATTATGGATTGGTTGTAGGCGTTGGTTTACTCAGGAGTATTTCTAAATGATCAGCCCACTACTACATTTGTTCCATGTCTTCGGCAGCTGTGCTCCTTTCACTATCTTTCATCTGAGCTGATCTCTCCTTGTATTTCCACCCAGTTGTATGACATAGTGTTCTGATGTCTTTGTTACCTGCAGCCTTCCGTTAACACCATATCCTTTGTTTTCTCTACCACTCTTCTTGACGACTTTATTCAGTGTGTTGTAGATTGACTTTAGTTTCCCCACTCATCGTGCATCTTCTCCCTATTCTATCTTTTCTTACATTATTCCATTCCTCTCTGTTGGCCTCTAGGTGTCCATAGGGAGCCATTCGTCGTCTTGCTCGCTCATACCTCTTAGCGATTCTATACCACATCTTCTTTTTTTTCGCAATGTCAGCAGCAGTGTCAGCTAGCCTTCTGAAGGCTTTGACAAACCCGAATCACTTCCGCTCTTCAGTTTCAGCGGAGCGCAATTTCATCCTTTATGTTTTTCCTGTTTTGGAGTTTCTATACTAGTCGGATTGGTATTTTCGGGATGCGGTCAGTAACTTTATGTCCGAAGTCCCCATTTTCTCTGGGCTTGAGACCTTCCAGTAAACTAGTAGATGTTTAAACACAGCAATAAGAGGTGCTTAAATGTGTAACAAACAAATAAAACTAAAAAAATAATTTATAAGTAATCACACGAATATTCTTCCAAACTCATCTTCGCTTATCACAATATAACACAGAAAGTTTTGCATTTGTTGGACACCGCTTTTAATTTGCTAACTAGTCTACTTTCCAGAAAGAATGCAGTGCTGATCTATAGTTAGTGGCGAGGAATTATATATAGTTCCACAATACCCATTGGTGCAACTTAAATTCTTAAACCTTCTCAATATTGAGCATATAACCATAGGTGGTATTGCGACTTTACTAATTAGCATCCTTGAATCGACTGCAGTGTATCTATAGTCCCCTACCGTACAATTTGTCATGTACATAAATTTTCATATGTTGATTGATGGCATACAGCTGTGCCTGGTATACTTCGCATTATACAATGGAATGATGCTAATAGTTCATAATGCCTTCACTCAGCGCTAACCAAAACTATGATAACCATTCTAGCCTTTACTGATTACTATCACCGTAAATAAGTGACTCAATTTCTCATCTTTTCAAACTTCTTAGGCAGACAGATATGTTCTTCAGATTTTGAAAATTTGACGATGTGAATATAATGTGAATGTAACCACTGCAAGAATACATTTTAAGTGATTCATTCTTTAAGAACTGATCGTCACTAGAATCAATAACGCAGAAATAAATTAGGATCGATAATGATTCTTGTGTTGGTGGTTCACTATCCGATGTTGGCCCTCCAGTCGACGCACACTCTTGACCTCACTGATCTTTTACTAGGATCAGCAAACACAGAAGGTTAGGCTTGAGGCTGACAGCTTTCACCCGAAAATCAAACCTTTTCTGTTCAAAATTAAAAGCGCTAGCTTGAAGTCATATGTTGTACTTGGAACACAAAGCGATAAAATAAAATAAATATAATCATTGTTCACTTGAAATTTCGTTCGAGTTGGTCTCGCAAATCAGACATTATTGAAGATAATACTGCTTCCATTTTGGTCTAACTGCTTAATCAACCTATCAAAATAACTACTATCAAAAATGGAACAACAACTACTACAAAAGGGATTAAACTACTACAATGAAGACATTGCAAAAACTGATTTCTTTGCTACGCTTGAATCGATACTCAAATCATCAAACTTCAGTGAGGGAACACAAGATGAGCTACACCTAAAAATCGCACCAATGGTCAAACAGAAAAAAACAACACACACAATTCAACTCTCAAGAAATAAGCCTCTTGAAAAGCTGAAAAATAGGAAGGACATCGTCATTCTACCAGATGACAAAGGAAGACCAACTGTCGTCATGGACAGAGAAGAATACACTAAGGTAGCTGAAGAACTACTCAAAGACGAGGATGTGTATTAACAACCCCTAACAAATCTCATACAAACATTAGACAACCGCATCCAAAGAACACTAAGCAAGCTCACCAGAACACGTGAGATTACAAAACATGACCACGGCGAATGAAATCCAATGGGCAAGTCCTACTCCGATTCTACGGCAGACACAGAATACAAAAACCTTATATCCCGTTACGACAAACTGTATCGCTACCAGGACCTCTAAGCTACAATTTATACAAAGAATTATACAGAAAACTGAAACACCTAACGCACTCCTGCTGTCCGATTTCTTAAGGAAATCAGATGCATTCAAATAGATGACCAAGAAATAGTGGTATCCTTCGACAGAAACTACTTGGACAGAAACTACCAAAAGAGACTATGGAGCAATTACCCAGTAACGACGAACAATCAAAAATGCAACACACAAATTGGATGGAATGCATAAAGCTATGACCAAAAAAGTACTTCCATTCAACGGACAAATATATGAACAAGTTAAAGGAACACCCATGGGATCACCGATATCAAGTTTGATTGCAGAAGCAGCGATGCAAAGGCTCGGTAATATAATGCTACCAAAGATCCGAATCAAAATTTGGATAGGTTACGTAGATGACACATTCGTAAGAATCAAAAGAAACGAGTTGGATAAAACTCAAAACTTCATAAACAACGTTTTTAAGGACACCAAATTCACAAGAGAAGAGGAATACGAAAGCAACATCCCATTTTTTCACGTCTTAGTCAAGCAAACAACCACAGGGGAATTAGAGACTCAAG